AGAAGATTGATTGGGTGCCAGCTACTGAGAACTGCAGATCTAAGAGAGTTTAGGACTTCCAGAAAGTTCCCAATTTAACATTGTCTGTCACAGAGGTCCTGTACCTCATGGAAACAGGCCTGTCTTACCACCCTGCCGTGCTCAATGATTGTCTGGGATTAACCTGCATAAAGCATGGTCATAGTCAAATGCTTTAGAGCACAGCAGCTAGGGTTGTTAGCCAATTACCATACCTGCAAGTGAAGATTGGAGAGACAAATTTTCATGGTTTACCGTGCTCCATCTTCTTGGTAGCACCGACTTTCCTTTACATACAGGTTCAGAGAGCTTCTGTTCCATGATTTCCTGGGCTTCTTTTTCTGATCAAGAGAGAGCTCAGAAGAGGCAGGTTATTGAATGAAGTTCAACCTGTGGCTTCCGTTGATCTCAGAACCTCACCTTGTCCTTATTCTCTTCCTCCTCCACAATCCATTCTGGATTCCCTTCAACTATGAACGTGGAAGTTCGTATTGGTTTAAGTGGTAGTCTGATCCAATCCTTCATTCTTGGGGTTTTCACATATATTTATCTCCTTGCCTGTTGTGAGTAAGCAACCCACCTGCCTCCTGCTGCTCAGTATCAACTGTCTTTGTCATCATGGTACTTCCTCTTCTCTTCTGCTGATCTCTTGGTATAAATAATTCATAACTGTTAACTTAATAGAACCCTTACTGTGTTTTCTGGCAAGAGTCACCGGGAACAGAGTACAACACAGAAGTTTCTAACTTAATACATACACTGTATCGTGAAGAATGACACCCAATCCTTTCAGAACATTGTCTTCATGTTGATGCTTCAGCTAGGCCTTTGAAAGACCCTTCCAGTATTCTATGACACTATTGTCTCCTGGATGTGGTGGTATGCTGGAACCTGCTTCTACTAGCTAGCATACTTAGAACATTTTCACCTAAATGAGACCATTCTGGTAGCTGGCAATTGGCATAGAGAGAATATTTATACTACATACATTTACAAATGTTACAAATTTGTCTCTCCCCCTAAAAGAACCAGGTGTTACATATTTATCAGCACATCATGAAGTACAGCAGATCCTGAAATAACATTATTTTGTTCAATGTTGCTTTGGTATAACTTGATATGTGTGTGTGTGTGTGTGTGTGTGTGTGTATGTGTGTGTGTGCGTGTACGCACACACTCACACATTCCCAGGCAGAGTCACTCTCTCTGTGGATTTACACATTTACACATTTTCTCCATATCTGCATGGGTTTCCCCTGATTGTCCAATTTCTTCCCACATCCTAAAGATATGATTATTAGATTAATTGGTTTGTCTAAATGGACCCAGTCTGAGAGAGAGAGAGAGAGAGAGAGAGAGAGAGAGAGAGAGAGAGAGAGAGAGAGAGAGAGAGAGAGACTGTGCATGTGTGCTGTGATGGAATGGCAACCTGTCCAGGATGACTACCTTATGCCCTGAGCTGACAGGATAGGCTCAAGTCACCCTCAATCCTAAACTGGAATATGTGAGTAAATTACTATCTTATCTGTTTTTGTTAATCTTTTAAACATGTATGCATAGCTCACATTTATTTCAATGCTTTATATTAGATGTGTTTGTTTATATCAGCCTGCAGTAAAATAGTTTTGCTTCAAGTCACAGTTTTCAAGAATATATTCATGACATTAAGGAGTGAGGACTTACTCTCTGGGATTCTCCCATGCATCCTTCATTGCAAAGGGCATCTCCTGCTTGAGACATATGCCATGTGAGATTTCTTGTTTGTGAATCAAGCATTTCAAAACTCCTAGCACTGGTTAAGATTCTGTGGGCTGTAAAAAGCAAACAATACCCCAAATAGGTATCTGTACCTAAAAAGAGGAACCCGATGACACTTATGTGATGGAAAAAGCTAGTGGATTCAACCTGCCACCAATGAATAACATCATATTGGGGACACAGTGTTGGAGTTTTAGGAATTGGAAAGACAGTAGTCTTTATATTGCGTTCAAACTATTGATTTACACATTGCAATGTCAAGAACATGACTAACTTATGAGAGTACTTCATATTTAGCACATCTAAACTGAAGTCTTGTCTGTAGAAGTTCTGATTTCATTGTTCTTTCCTTTGTTCATCTAAACCACCTAGATTAACAAATATGACAGTAATGAGGAAGTTAATCATTATGATTTATTTTGTTGTATGTTATAAATGATATGGGAAAATGGATAGCACTTTGGTAGATTTTTGTAGATTCCCATCATGTTACAAACCACTAGAATACTCATGCCATGTATTTCTTTCTAAATCTATGAAGAAAACAATAGTTAAACATGGTTTCAACCTTTCTAAATATGAAATTAGAGTTTCAAATCTATTTTAAAAATAAATTCTAGAGATGAATTTACAATTAAATTCTATGATCTAATTACCTGGACTAAGTGCTAAGTTGTCATAGAAACAGCACATTAGATTTATAAATATCAGTCTGCCTAAAAATACAGCAGATTAAGTAATAGATTCCGGAAATAACTTCACAGGTCAAATAACTTATTAAGTTGCTTTAAAACTAATTAATTAATTTAATATACTCACTTCATAGTCTCATATAAAGACTAGCTTATCAGTGAAGAATTGATATCTTTAAAAAAGGTTCAAAAAATAGAACTAATTGGTACCTCTTTGGAAGAAAAGTACATTATGCAATAAATCATAGTATAAGTAAATAAGAATTACTGTCCCCATTGTATAGTGAAAGTATTTAATAATTTAAATAATATTAGACATTTTTACTTTGGCACACATATGCTATTAAAGGGAATAAAAATTACCTTTTTAGCAGTGGGTAGTGTTATAATAAGCAAACGAATAAATGAACTTCCATTAATCTATAACTGAAAATGGTAATTTTCATTATTTTAGTATTTATTTATTTGATCATCAATGAAAGTAAATATTTTCTCATAATTTATTTAACATATTTTCTTTTGTAAAATTTTGTTATATATTTCTCATTTATAAGTTGTTTTATTACATTATTTCTCAATCCATATGAACTTTTGATAATTAGCTATGTTAATCATATGTTATAGTTGTAGAAAATATTTTCTTTTGTGGTTCGTCTTTTAGTTACTTACAGTGTTTTTGAGGTAAGTTAACTAAGGTAGTATCTTAGGTCTTTGCCTTTAGTTATGCAATTATTTATCTGACCATTTATTTTTAGAGTCCTTGAGTACTTTTTATTTCCATGCCTTCACTTAACTATTGGTGCTTCTCAAGACCTTTATTATATGTTTTTCCCAGGGATATATAAACAACACCAACTTCAAGCTGTGACCAAGTACTGATGGCCCTCACACTTAAATTATCAGTCCAAATATCTCCTGTGCTCTAGCCAGATTCCTGCAAATTGCCATCTGGGTATTCCCTCCTATCTAAAATAAAAGAAGTCCCAAATTATACCTGACAACATTTTCTTCCCTTGTAAATATGCTTACCCAAAGTGAAGAAAAACAACTATCCAGTATGATAGGTTTAAATTTATTTGATTCTAACTACCTTTTTCTCCCCTCTGTGCCTATGTAATAAAATATTTCTTAAGTCCATCATTTCATATGTTTTTTTTTTTCTATTATCACTGCATTTGTTCAGATGCCATTTACTTTATAAGAGAGACTGGTTTCTTTCTAATGCTTAAAAAGTATCTTTTAAAATAAATAAGCTAATGAAAGTAGACAGTAGAACTGTGTGTATCAGAAGCTAGGAAAGGGAGGATGGAGAACTGCTGGTTAAGGGATAAGAGGAACGAGTTTGGTGTTTTGTAGCACAATAGGATGAATATGGTTAAATATAACTTATTGCATAATTTCAAAAAATTATAAGAAATGGTTTTGAATGTGTATAACAAAACACAAAAAATGATACATGCCTGAGGTGATAAATATGCTATTTTCTCTGATTTGACCATTATGTATTATAATGCAATATACATGTTCAGAAATATAATTCTGTATTCCATAAATATATGTGTAACCTAAAAGTAAAAGGTAAAATATAAAAATGATCCTTGTAAATTTCCTATTCTAATCATTTTTCCCATGTATCAAGTCAAATCTGAATTATTTGTGGAAAAGTTTAATTAAGTTTAATTGTTAAATAAATATTTATAAGATTTTGAGAAATATATTAATTAATATTGGTTTGGTATAACTCAAATATTTGAATTTTAATAATTGAATAAATCCTGTGTTGTGTTCAGTAACATAAACAAATCTGCTCTGGATTAGAAATTTTGAAGTCATCAGCAACAATACAAATATTTTTTATAAAATTATCTCATAATTAGACTAATACTCATATGTGTGGTTACATTTAAAATCCATGATGTTTATAATTTCTGAACTACTCGACAGTCATTTCAAATTCCTGACAGAAATCAGTAGATGATAATAAACAGTCAGACCTTGACATTATTAAATGATACATGAGACTGTTATGCTAATTTAGCCTTTGACTTATCCATCATTTACCATCCAAAAGTCTTTTTTGAAGTAAAATTGCAGTTCTATTACTTTAAAAAATGTGGCTGTGCACATAATTTTTCATTAAAAAGACATTAACTTTTCAGATAAATCACTAGAAAATTTAATCTCTATTTGATTTCAGAATGCAAGAATAAATAAAACATGAACTGTATATTTTTCTGTCAATTAATTTTACAAATCACCCTTCACCAAGATTTTAAGAAAAAATGATTACCATTTATTTTATTTACATTATGTGAAGAAAGCCTATCTTTTTTCTTTTGTGATAGTACATTTCTTTTATATTGCTTTATTTTGCAACAAATGGCAGTAGTTGTGGATTTTAAAGATAGTGATGCTGGTCGTTATTGCAAGAATAAGAACAAGAAAGGAAACAAATCATACAGTGGGACATTTCTCAAGTTATTCTATACTAAATATATGGTGTTGGGGAACTGGTTCTGTTTTGCTTCACAGGTAATTAAAGCAGTAGAGGAAGGCTACCGTCTGCCAAGCCCCATGGATTGTCCTGCTGCTCTCTATCAATTAATGCTGGATTGCTGGCAGAAAGACAGAAATAGCAGGCCCAAGTTTGAAGAAATAGTCAACATGTTGGACAAGCTGATACGTAACCCAAGTAGTTTGAAGACGCTGGTTAACGCATCATGCAGGTAAAGGCCAGACCAGAGCTACTTTCCAGAGTGTAGCTAATTTAGATAGTTGTCACAAATATTTTCTCAATTAAATCATTCTTGTAAACATGTTAATCTATGAATCGATATGATGCTAATTTATTTGAATACTGTTTTTGCATCATTTTACTCTCTTATAATGAATGAAATATGTGATTCAATTATACTTAAAAGCACCTATATCTAATCTAACAGTGTAACATGCCAGTTTCAGAAAAATAAACTATAGCCACATTCAGATTGATTTTAAAAAACACACTCAAATGTGTGTGCTTCCAGATCATTGTAAAGGACAGGTGTAGATGGGAAAATAAGATTATAAGAGCATAAGAAAAAGCCAAACACTGATATATCTTAAACCAATAATATTTAATAATAATCACTATGATTTCCTTAGAATACATTGTAGTGTCTGTCATTTAAGTATGAATACATTTTAGTGCTCATATTTTAAGAACATCGACAACTTAGAAATTCTCCTGCTCTTATGTAGTTATACACCAATATTTGGTTAATAATTTATTGCACAGTTTGAATAAGTCTGATAAATGAGTGATCTTGTGGAGAAAATTTGGGTGAGCAAATGAGTATATTTTTTACTTTTCGGAGTAACACGTGCATGCATTTAAATAATGTTCCATATCTGTTAAGCATTCCTTTCTCATCATCTGAAAAACAGAATTATCCTCTCAAAGAATAAATCAACTTGATTCTGTACTAGAAAATTTACCAGATTGTTATTTTTTACTATATTTGAGGCAGTTGTCTATTTTTATAAGAATGTGCTATGTTGGTAACTGAATTGGCTGCTTATTAGCATGAACTAACTGAGAGACAATTTGTTGATAAAGTTACAGAAGTTCTAAGATTCTGACATAACATTTGTTTACTAAATGAAAGTCATTTTAAATACAAATGAGGAATGTCTCTTCAAACTCTGTTCAGGCATCATTAACTTTCTGTGGTAGCAACTGGAGAATGTAGCTTCATAGCAATTATTCTTTATGCCGTTCCCTAAATATCTGCCTTTACATTGATTATTGTCACGTAAAATATGAAGGAACATCTACTGGTTTGAATTATATTACATTGTGACAAATGGACATAAGTTTTCAAAATTTCTAAATAGTTTTCATTTTTCATCATATGCAGCATATTAGATTGAGCTTGCAAGATTTTGTTTAGATAGCTTTAGCTTTAATGCCCCTTACAACACTCACTATCTCTCCTTTATTGTCGTCTGCAAATCCTGATTCTAGAAAGTGTTAACTCCTAGTTCATTCTCATTCTCTCTCTCCTCTCTCCTTTCCCCTCTCTGCCTCTTCCTCCCTCCCTCCCTCCCTCCCTCTGTCTCTCTCTTTCTCTTTTTCTCTCCTTCTCCATCCCCATACACATTACAAGGTTTGATGACTTCCGTAACTATGTAGGTGATATTCAAATATCTCTCAATACCAAAAGTTTTTCTTCTTCTATGATTTTGTTCATGAACTTGCCTTGGAATTTCCTTCCTATGGTCATATTCTAGACTTTACTATTCGAAAATTGCAACTTTTTCATAACTTCAATGACAAAATTCTATTCCCCAATTGTTTCCTCTTCTATTTTATGTCTAACAATTCTTGCTAATGGCTATAAATCACAACAATATTCATCCAAAAACATTCATTTATTCATCCAGCAAACATTCCCTTTTCTACTCTGTGTCATGCTCTGAGAATATAACATCATGCTCCACTCTGGAGTGGAGAGTGGGAACAGAATTCAAGATTAATAGTAGAAGGCTAGATTGGTTATGCAAGTGAGATATGATGGTGTCTTAAATAAGGTGGTAATAAATGAGAGAAAGGTGGTCACATGTGTAACATATTGCAAGTAGAATGGATAATACATGCAATGATAGACTTAGAGGGAAACTAGGACAAAGAAGAAATGAACTGTTGCGTCATATACTATAATGGAAAGAATCTCAAGAGGTCCTGGATGTGAAGAAGATGAGGAGTGTGGTTTTGGGCATGAAGTGATATTCCTATCAAAAATATTGAGGTGCAGCTGGGCTCGGTGGCTCAGCCTATAATCCCGCACCTTGAGAGGCTGAGGTGAGTGGAATGCCTGAGCCCACGGGTTGATCTGCCTGGGCAACTTGGCGAGACCTCCTCTCCACAATAAATCAAAAATTAGCCAGGCGTGGTAGTGTGTGCCTGTAGTTCCAGCTACTTGGAAGACTGAGGTGGAAGGATGCCAGAGCCCAGCAGGTCGAGGCTGCGGTGGCCGGGAGCGGCCACTGCATTCCAGTGTGGGTGACAGAGTGAGACTCTAACTCAAAAAAAAAAAAAAAAAAAAAAAAATATATATATAGAGAGAGGTGCAAAGTAGGTATATGGACACATAAAAGGACTTAGACTGGAGATTTTAAAAATTGAGAAAAAATAGATACTATTTGAAGACAAGAAAGTGAGTGAAATTGCTTAGAGGTATAGTTTGAATAGAGCAAATCCTAGCTCCCTGAAAATTTTAAAATCAGAAAAGAAGGAGTAACAGACAAAGGAGATTGAGAAGAATCCAGGAGCACACAGTGTCATGGTAGCAAAAAAAAAAGTGATTTAACAAGTTGTTGAGATATAGTAAGTAGGATTTTAAAAAGAAGATGTTGTAGTGGTGGTTGAATATTTCTGAGAAGTCAGTCATTTCATTAATTGAAAAATGTTGACAGATTTTGGCAAAAGAGAGGTCATTGTTCCCCTCAATTAGACCTATTTTTGTAGAATTGATTAAAACACAAAAGACTGCACACCAGGAAATTGAAATGTACTTAAATATACTCTGGTTGATAGGTATGCCAATTATTTTTGATATTTAGGTAACTTTTGTCATTGTTTTCTAGTTATTTCCTTAGGATATGTTTCTAAAAATTATCATAACCATTATCATTATTATAAGCATCCTATCATTATTTTTTATTGGCCAGAGTACAAATTTAATGTGGTTAAGAGCATCTCATGGTATCGTTGATTAATTGTTTCTTATGTATTTGAGTCTACATTTTGTTTACCAGGTATTACCACTTCCAGATAAATTAACAAGCACCTTTATGTAAGAATATAAAAAAAAGAACAAGTCACTTCTGAACTTTCTTAGAAACTAACTTAAATGAATATGAGTTCTAACAAAGTCTAGAATCGATTGGCTTTGCACGAATTATCTCATATATCTATTTGGTAGAATTTTCTGTATTATTTTTATTAAAAAAACATAGTGGTAGCAAGTAATATATCTAAACCACTACCTGAAAATTTTTAGTAGACTGATTTTTTTAGAGTAGATTTAGATGTACAGCAAAACTGAGCAGGAGAGACAGAGATCTTCCACACAACCTTTACACCCATACATGTATAGTCCTCTGCCACCCCATTGTCAGCATCGACCACCAGAGTGGCATGTTTATTACTGTTGATGAACCTACATTGACACATCATTATCCATCAAGATCCATAATTTATATTAGAGTTCACTCTTCATGTTATATGTTTTATGGGCTTGGATAAATGTATAATAAATGGACCCACCATTATAGTATTATATAGAATAGTTTTATTGCCCTAAACAATCTTTATTTGCCTATTAATACTTCATGAAACTTTTAGCTATTGTTTTGTTTTACAGAAAATCTGCCTATTAACATATAAATAAGTAAATCCTAATGTTAAGTCCTCATTAATTATGGATAAAACAATCTCAGTGGACTGATATTATGTTCTCCTGTATTTTGAATTATTTTCTTCCATATTAGCAGTTGTGTATTTTTCCCATAAATATACTTATATACCCAAAGTTCTATTAAATATGAGTTAGCCTTGCAGTAAGCTTTGTAATAAAAGTTAAACAAGTAAAGTTTTACTTCTAATATTTACATTTTATGTATTTTAGAGTATCTAATTTACTGGCAGAACATGGCCCACTAGGATCTGGGGCCTACAGATCAGTAGGTGAATGGCTAGAAGCAATCAAGATGGGCCGATACACAGAGATTTTCATGGAAAATGGATACAGTTCAATGGACGCTGTGGCTCAGGTGACCTTGGAGTGAGTAATTTTTCTGATAATTTTTACATAATTGCTGGGGCCAGAAAAATTGTTCAGAAATCAACCTGGATGAGGTCAAGGGAAATCAATTAACCTTTGTCAATGTGTGGCAGCTCTCAAAGACACCTCATCTTTTTTAGTCTATATTGTTAACAACTGCATGGTTAATGCTATGTATGGCCAGTATCTTTGCTTTTCTGCTGCAAACGAATAGCATTTGAGTATTTGAAAGATTGGAATAACAGCTCCTTGGCAAAATACTGGTATTTTGTGTTGTGGAAAAGATGTTTTCTTGACAAGTTTTTTATACTGGTACCTATGTTACATGAATGTAAATACAAAACAAAACAAACTGTAAGCACAATTGGTGTGGCTAGTCCTATGTAAGGACAAAACATATTTGTAAATTTTGGCTCTCTATGATAAATACCAAGATAACAACAGCTTAAATAAAGCTTCCCTGGCAGGAATCTATTTAATCTCCAAATGATACACCTTATTTTCTTACAATCTATGGGTGTGTTCGATCCTGCCTCTGATTTGTTATTTGGTACAATCTCAGTGGAACCAATTGTGCCCTTTTCTGTTTGCACGTTTAAGATAAAATTTATCAAATCTTATTAAATAAAAATCACTATAGATATTAAATTCTTTAAGGTTGTAAGTTGTTTGTATTTTATTATATGCTGTGTATGTGTAGCTATTTTAGCCTAATTGTTATTTGTGCAAATTAACTGTCCCTATGGTGGTTCCATCTAGATTACATTAACATTAATAATGTTTTAACCTGTGAATATATTGATAACTTACTTATAATTACCTACAGATTCAAAGGTTAAAATATTGTTGTAGAATTAGAAGATGGTAGGATATTCTAAAGCACTAAACCACAGTCCTTATTTCATTACTTCATATGACATAAACATTGAGCAGTTCTCTTTCACCATCTCTATTACTCTGGCATTCTTTGATTCATTAAATCCACTGCTCATCCCCAAAAAAGGTAACAGGGTACCACCATTTATCACCAGTTAATGTCACATTTCCAGCATTCTTTTCCTTCATACAGATGATAACTAAAAGGACCTGAAATCACAATCACTCAGTTTGCTTTCTCGATTTACTGAATCTCATTCTGTCACCACCAGATCAAATCTACTTGATGACACATATGCTTTACCCATTATTTCTTTGGATACTCAAGGAGCTCATCGGTGTTATGTTTAAAATAGTATACTGAAAAATTTACTGATAATTTAAAACTATTTTTACATGATTGCTATTTAATTTTTCAGTAAAAATGATCATTTTAATTTATTAAAGTCATTTGTCATTTTATATTAAAATGATATTGTAGGTATTTCTTCTACCCAATGTCAGATTACTTGTAAATATATAATAAAATTATTTGCATTAAACATTGTCTCTTTTTTTATTAAAATAACACATTTTACATATACAGTTGCATCTACTGCACTTTTGCTCCTTCCTTCACAGGGTGATTATAATCATAAATTATGGTTTTTACATTAGTTACCTGCATTTTAATTTATAATTTGGGGGCCTCCACATACTCTAACTATGTTGAATATTTTAGCATGATGATTTCATTTTTTTCTTACTTTTTTGAAAAAATTCCATTCTATTTATTTTCCAATCTGCCCCTCTATTTACAAAATCTCCTATATTTTACATTTTCTTTTAAGCCCTAATAGCCTCTTGTGCCTTTTCATAATGATTCTTTTGTAGCTTATTGCCTCCTGCTGGATTAAATTTTTACACATATTTTGTCTTTTAATTAGTTTACTTCAATGAAAAGACTAAGATAAAATTAGGAAGCTTACCAATATCTTCTCATTCAGAGAATGTTGGTCTCCTTACATCAATCGTTTCAGATTCCTTGGGTCTATAATCACTAAAATATTTCTTGCTAGGAAATTGTTCAACAGACCCTAACTTCAGTAATGCTGATTTTGGGGGAGAGTCTTTCTCCTTTAAATACCCACTCTCTTGTTTACTGTGCTTTAGACCACACTTTTTCTTATTGGTAAGAACGTATTTTATCAAAACATTATGTTAAATAATACACAAAATAGAGAGCAATAGGTTACTTGTTTGGTCAATTTATTTTCTTTTTTTATTTTAGGAAAAGATTATTTGACCAATTTCATTGCTTTTCACCAAAAAATAAAATAAAATAAAATAGAAAGTTCAGTCATTGCTAAGGACTAATGGAAAAGGAGACTGAGATTTTCAGAAAAAGATAAAGACAAACTCTCAAAACACCTTGATATGTGTTTTTCATACATAGCCTTTATCCAATACCTGAATATTAATTTTATAAACCTATGTAATATTATCATAAAATAATAAAATATTATCCCTAGAGTTATTGCTAGAAAATAATAGAAGACAAAAATAAAAGAAAATGTTCATAACTGTTATAAATTCTTGGAAAAATCCAAAAGTTAACTCAACTAAAGCAAATAATCAAACTACTATATTTAATAAATGTGTTGTGATTTGTGACATTTAATCTGTTTTCATAGTGGGTTTAGGAAAAAAAAAAGAATTAAAAATGCAATGTTCCAGAACCACATGCTTTGGTTGAAATATTCCTTCATAAGGCTTAATTTTACTTGTTTATGAATTCCTTGCCAATGCATGCATGTATGGTTGAATATGGAAAGGAAATTAAGAACTTAGAGGTGTTCGAGTCAAAGCATGTCCATGAACATGGCTTTCAAACTTAGATGTTTTTGTCTGCTCTTCTCTGTGCCTAAATCTTGCTGTTCTGCATACAGTATTTATATGACAACAATCATGGCATTAATGATGCAAACTGTACTATCCTGTATAAGTGTTATGTGTTATTGTCAATAGGGAGAATTGTAAGCATGAGATGAGTTGAAATCTGAATCCACAAATTTCCGTTAAGCACAGAATCACAGCTGCTTTTTAAACTTCTTGTCACATCAGTACTGTCAACTTTTGGTTATTCAGAAAATGAACAAAATCTGATGAAGTTAAATATTATACCAATTGTGCATAAGCTAAAGAAGTTCCTCTTAGCATCAGATAATAAAGTCTCAAACTACTACAATGAAAGTTCTTAAATACAAAGCTAAAAACTGTGCAGACATTTTCAAATAAATGTATCAACTTATCCATTAAGGCCAGGTGTGGTGGTTCACGCCAATAAACCCAGCAATTTTGGAGGCCAAAATGGGAGGATTGATTGAGCCCAGGAGTTCGAGATCAGCCTAGGCAACATAGTGAGACCCTTTATTCGCTGGGCATATTGACAAGTACTTGTAGTTCTAGCTTCTTGGAAGGGTGAATTGAGGCTGCAGTGAGTGGAGATTGTGCCACTGCACTTCAGCCTGAGTGACAGAGTAAGAACCCCAGCTCAAAAAAACAAAAAAACAAAAAACCTTACCAATAAAGTCGTTATGCATAAATTATTATACATGTAAGGTACACACAGCAGTATTTACTATCCTTTGTGTTCTGCATAATTAAGCTAAAACTCTAAGTCAGCCCTCACAGTCTCATCTATTGGAAATCATTAAAAGACCATGGTCAAATATCCTTTTGCCAATTGTAAATATATTTGTCTTATACAGTATCTCTATAAATGATTATTAGGGTTCTTGCAAGTTAGCCCCCAAATGACAAACACACAACTGCATAATAAAAGCACACAAAAAAGCAGTAGATACTGAAGTTTTGTGGAGTGGATATTCGTAAATCTCTCTTCTCCCTTCTACTATCCAGCCAATATTGGTGGGGCTAAGTGTCAGTGATATGGGCTAAAAGTGTGTAAAGCAGAAGGGAGAAGAATGAGCAAGGGAATTAATCATTCACATTGATGAATTTAAGCTTGGATAATCAAGAGTTGGCTCCAACACCAACTAGACACCTCTTGTTATTCTCTATTTTTCTTTCTGCCATTTTAGCATCATAATATCGGTGTGTTTCCATTGTTTAATACCATGGAATAATGTTTGAAAAAAATACTGGAATGTAATGCCAATAATGGTTATTCATTATATTTGCAGCTTTCTAAAGTTAAACATTTTTGTCAATAAAATCTAAACTAATTTTTATGTAAAACAATACTGTTTTTATCATGTTCAGCCAATGCTGAAATATAGCTTATCATCACTAGAACTGGCCTTGGGCATTACTTAAGATTACACGTAGTCATTTTAATATTAGTGTAATATTTATGATAAGAACACAAAACTTTAACTAGCTATCAAATGTTCTACTTAGAAAAATGAAATGAAAAAATAGCATATCTTCCACTGTTTCCATTTTTTTTCCAAAATTATTGTGAATAGGGTAACCATATCATTATTAAATGTAAAATACTTTATTTTATTTTCATCAAATTTCTATAATTATTACTGCTAATTTGTCCTCATAACATGTGATTTAGGTAGTAAAATGGAAATTGTTGAAAATAGCAGATGTGTGAGATAAAACTGCTTAAATGAAGATAATTGAAAGTATTTAACAATACTGGCGCAAAATTAATCTTTACTATAGATATTTTCTAATATTTTTATTCTCAGGTGTAATGCAATTTAAAAATATTTAAAGGGATTTCAAAAGAAACTACTTTGCTACTGAGAACAATTTTAACTTATGTGAATAATCTTATTTCTCCTCCACTTTTTTTACTAAAAATCACAATGAATAAAGAAATATGTACATTACATGCATTATAATTATCCTATTATATAAATCTATGCACATTAATTTGACAGTGTTTAAAATTATAGGTCAGATTTAAAGAAAAACAACATAATTCCATTAAAGACAAGTATCATTTATGGAAATGTGTAAAATGCAATGCTGTTTTTATAACTTTATTTTTGCCATGAAGACACAATGGGATGAAATGAAAAAGAGTGAGAGAAGTAAAAACACATAAGGGAAGATAATTTCAGTGGTCTGACCATCCACATGCATCTCAGTATATAATCAGATAATAATTTGATCTTGAAATACAATGTTATGCTTAGTTCATTGAAAAAATTCAAGCAAATTTAACTTAAAATCTGTGCTTATGAGGTGTCCTGAAAAAGTACAAATTGTATTTTCCCATAAACATAAACTCTATACCCACTTTTACTAATGAAGCACAATGTATCTAAACAGTTATTCTTTAGCATGATATAGATATCATTAAAAAAATTAAATTCCCAGCCAGGCTCAGTGGCTCAGCCTGTAATCCTGCGCCTTTGGGAGACTGAGGTGAGTGAATTGCCTGAGCCCGCGGGTTCGAGACCCGCCTGGGCAGCGAGACCTCATCTCTACAATAAATCAAAAAATCAGCCGGGTGTGGTAGCGCAAGTAATTCTGGCCACTCGGAAGGCTGAAGTGGAAGGATCGCCGGAGCCTAGCAGGTCGAGGCTGTGGTGACCGGGAACGGCCACTGCACTTCAGTCTGGGCGACAGAGTGAAATTCCAACTAAAAAAAAAAAAAAAATTAAATTAAATTCCCAAAGTACTGAGCTAGAGCCATTTTTGTGGTCATGTCATTTTCTTAAGATTTACTTCTAATAATACAAGATAAGGAGTAGGAATAAAAATAAATCAAATAAATAATTTAATATTCTTTGTTTTGTTTTGTTTAAGTCAGAGTCTCACTCTGTCACCCAGGATGGAGTGCGGTGGCACGCTCACGGCTACTGCAGCCTTGGCCTCCTGGACTCAGGTGATCCTTCCATCTCAGCCTTTCAAGTAGCTGGAACTACAGGCACGTGCCACCTGGATTTTTTTTTTTTTTCCTTTTTTTGTAGAGATGACACCCCTCCAAATTGCCCAGACTGGTCTCAAACCTGTGGGCTCAGGCAATTGTCTCACATCAGCCTTTCGAAGTGCTGGTATTATAGGTGTGAGCCACCGCGCTTGGCCTTAATTTAATATTTTTTAAAGAAATCAAGTAAAAGTTGGAATATGGAACACACACAATTTAAATTGAATTTTTGTGATTATATGTGTAAATTCCATGTTTGAGTGGGAACTTATATATTCCTTTTTTCAAGTCATCCAGAGTAAACTGCAATGCTTATTCTCAAAAGCTCATTCCTAATGATTAGAATACCAATTATGAATTGTGTTATATATATAATACATTCATATTTACTAATCTGGGTTCCTCAGTAGTACCTAAGGGTTTGCATGATAAATAAAACACATATTTTAAAACTTCATTTCTAGTCCTAATTCAGCTCTCCAGTAGGAATTGTTTTTTTACATTAAGAAATTTAAAATTTTATTCCCTTTTCTCTAGGCTATGGCCCAAAGTTTGCAAGTTAACACCCATGAATACTCACATCTACACAATTTTTCATGATTCTTAAATTATATGTGAAAACATGAGTATGTTAGCCCGTAACAGAAAGTTCCACGAAATACAGATTTGGTTTCCATAGCCTCAGCTAAAGTATATATTTGTTTTTCTTTATTAGGTATCTGTTAGAATTTTCGATATTTGATGCTATATTTTCAGAGTTCTCAATTTACAGATGAATACATTTTTGCATGCAATTTGAAGTGCTTTGCTCAAAATCATAACACAGAATAGTAAGAAATTAAGAGTATAGATTTCGGTGACAGGTATCTAATTTTAGTCCTAACTCTGTTACTCACTGACTGTTATCTGGCCAAGTGATTTAAATTTTCTAAGCCTTTATTTACTCATTCACTGAAGGAAATTTAGAAATTGATATCATATGATTATATCTTTCCCGAGCATATAGTAAGTATATGCCTATCAAGTGTCATCTATTTTTAAATAAATATTTAGTGCCATGGTTCTCAATCAGGAAAGATGTTGCCACTTGAAGCACATTTGGCAATGCTTTAAAATATTTTGCCCTGTCAAAACGAAGGGCTGGTTATGATGCAGTGCTCCTGATATCTAGTTGGTCGAGGCCCTGGAGGCTGCCAAATATCCTACAATTCACAGGAGTGCCTGTCTACTACAAAGAATCATGCAGCCTATAGTGTGAACAGAATCAAAGCTCAGAAACTCTGGTTTAGTTGAAAAGAGATGAGATTAAATTTGCATTTCTTTTATTCCTAATTTGACCTTTTATTAGCTACTTTATAGTCTATTTCATTATTCACAATATCACTATTGTGATATCACTTAACAAAATTGAATATTTACTGATTTTAAGTTTTGCTGATGATTGTTTTCCATGCCATGTCTACCACTATTATTATTTTAATTTTATACTCTGGTATCTTGTGGTTATAAAAATGTCCAAGATTAAAGTTTAATATTGCCATTCTAAGAAAGAAATACGTTTCCATCACACATCTTGATAGTTTTTTTCTTTTTGTAGCTATTTGTCATTTCCTAAAACTCTCATAAGAAATCAGGAAGTCATAAAGAAAAAAAACAAAGCAAAGGTATTATTGCAGTAAACAATTCTTTCCAATTCATTCTAATACATCCCTAGAGCCTTAGAATCCTTTTATTTAATTTCTATTCTCTGATAATTATGAGATCTTTTTTAATTATCTGAAGGTATTCAATTTTTACTTTATAATGATCCTAATGATGTGTCCAATTCAATAGTATTCTGAGAAAATCTAAAATTAATATACCTATGAATGTAAAATATTCCACTTTTATTATAATGTGTTAAATAAAGTAATTATCCAAAGAAATATACTGAGGTGAAGAACTCTGTCATTTAGGGTCTTGAATTGTTAATACTCATTTGATCTTATAACTAATGCTTATAATTTGCCATACATACCTGGCGAGTACATACTTTAAGGAAACAGCATTCCTAAATATTCTATAAAAGAACATTTAAAAACCATGGTCATTTGCCTTGAGCTCCATAACGTGTTAAGTTAGTTTAGAAATCTAAACATTTTTAGTTTTCTTTTGAATAATAAGCTTGTTGGAAAAATGCACAAAAGAATCTCGATTGAAAAGACTTTCTGAAAGCGTGTAATCTTCAGAATGCTCTAAATGCCAATATAGCTTAGATGTTATTTGGTAAAGGAAGAAAGCTCTTGTACTTTGTGTATATAGTAAAAAAAAAAAAAACATAAAATATTGCTATAAGAGCAATATAGTGGTGATAGTTACCTAAAGATATCTATTATATAAAATAATTGTATAGAATGAATCATTTTAATACCTTAAGTTTCAACTGCTTAGCTGTAAAATTTTGAAAGTATATTTATGCTTACTTCTAGCAAAACAAAAAAATATATTGTGTATATTATAGGTCCACATTTTCAAAACTCTTCAATGAAATTGTACCCTTTAAGTTAAGCATTTTTGGCTTAGCATATGCAAGTTTGTTTTTTTCTAGTCTGTGCCACTAAAATAATGATGTCCACAAATGGGGGCAAAAATGTATTAGACCACTCCTCATTGTAAATATTACTTTCACTGCTAACAGATTTTCAAGATACAATTTTTTACACTATGTTTGAAAATTGGACCTTATATATTTAAATTGGGACTGTAAACTAACTAGTTTCTATAATGTGTGTGCCCCGTTGCCAGCGTGAAATATTGAGGTGTGTTACGAATTAAATCAATACATACATCCAATGTGTGCTTTCTTCATGCAGGGATTTGAGACGACTTGGAGTGACTCTTGTCGGTCACCAGAAGAAGATCATGAACAGCCTTCAAGAAATGAAGGTGCAGCTGGTAAACGGAATGGTGCCATTGTAACTTTATGTTAATGTCACTTCTTCAAATGAATGATTCTGCACTTTGTAAACAGCCCTGAGATTTATTTTAACAAAAAAGGGGGAAAAAGGGAAAACAGTGATTTCTAAACCTTTGGAGAGCATTCGTCTCAGCCACAGAATTTGTAATCATGGTTTTACTAAAATCTTCATATTTTCCACCCAGTGTCTTCACTTTTTATGAAGCAAATATAACCTTCATTAAAAAAGAAAAATTCCACGAGGTTAAACTTCATCTTATGTTACAAAAACAACAAAATCCTTCCCAATACTTCTACACAATTTTGTACATGAAATATATAAATATACAGTACCTTTATAGACTGAATTAAGGCAACCCCTGTCAAAAATTCCAGGGATCTACTTGAAAGGAATAATTTTATAGCCATTTCTGGGCTAACAAAAGCTGAAGTTTACCGAAGTTTACGTCAAGTCTAAATTGTCTGCATAAGTGTATTGAAGAGCAATATGATTAGGTTATTTCTTAATAGTTTTCTTCTTTTGTAATTTTAAAATGCTGTTACACAGTGTTAAGTTATAGAAACTAGTGTATAAACATGTTGTTTGATCAAGAAAAACTACAATTCAAGGTGTATATTTATTTCTCTGTTATAAAATTTACTTTTATTTGCTCTTCTAGAGACTATTAGGAAATAACTGTGTATATACTGTATAATTTGCAATATACCCAGGAACTGATTTAAGTTGGAGTTGTGTGTATGCTTGCACATTTGTGTGTTACCATTCTGCTTGCATTTTTAATAGCGTTTTAATTTTAGCATCATATAGGAACACGTGTTCCAGAGTGTAACATGAATAGGAGAAACAGGGAAGCAGTAAAACAAAATTTAACACAAGCTTGTGTCTCTTTTCCTCTCATGTGTCCAAAAGCTAATCTCTTTATTCACTAACGGGAAATGTGTATACGATTAAATCCCCCTTGGCTTTTTAAAAAGCACTTTGTGATATCTGTGACAATGCAGTTCTTCTAGCCATTAATCTTGTACCCCTGTAAGAAATTTCACCTTTCTGAGTCCTAGAAAATGTCTTGTCACGCAAAGTTGACACCAAAGGGCACATTTTCAGCGGGATGTAGAAGGATTTAACTGTGCAGGCTTCTGTTAATGTTGTTAAATCCAGGCACATAGCACGAAGCATCACTCTTAAGTGTTAATCCTTTGTAACCATTCCCATTTTGACTCAGTTTTAGAAATTTTGATTCTAAGGCAGCAATGGAATGATGACAAACATAAATATATATATATATGTGTGTGTGTGTATATATATATATTTACATATATATATACATACTTTTTTTCCCTTCAGAATTGACAAGCTTTATTTTGTAATGGCTGTTAGTTCATTTGTTAATTTCATTTTGTATTCATTTAATCTATTTAGGTGTTCTTAATTGGACACTTTAAGAAATATAAGATGTCCTTCGTACTCTCTATCTAACACACATGGGAAAGACTTATGTCTGTAATACAAATTATACAGTTTATTAGAAATTATACAAAATTGGGCTCCTGAGCTAACCAACAATTTTGTATTATTATACTTTATAAAAAATCATGGAATGTCATCTGATTTTTTAAAAAACAGAATATTTAAATAAAATATAGCCTACTTGTGGATTTCAATGGCAACAGTACAATATATCAAAGTAGCCTGGATTAGTGAAATCCATGGGAATTATAGCTGGGTTAAATGAATGATACTTTTTCTCCCCAAGCAATTGTTTAACTTTAATGTTAGCACGTACAAGAATCAGCTTTGGGGAAAGAGCATCTTTCAATTTTGCCCATCCTTTACTTAAACAGTAAAGTACTTCTTAGCTAAAAAATAAGGAAAAATCAAAACAACAATAAAAGAAGTCCAAACAATTTTTAAGTTATATAATGGGTTCTGTCTAAGGACAAAAGCTATAATGTATCATATGCCTCAAGTATACTCTAATAGTTTAGTGAAATTTCAGATAAAGTTGAGAGAGGTGAATTTAATGTTGTCTGGATAAAATCGCATATAAATAGGTATCATTATTAAAATTGCATTTTCTATTTAAATAAACAGAAAATGAATGATACAAATTACTTTTGTACAAAATAATTAAATTTTTGAATCTTATTGAATTTTATAGAAGTATTCAAATCTAAGTGATAAATTACCAAATGAGAAACTTCAAACTAAAAATAGACTACTGATTTAAAAGGATGACTACCAAATATTTTAGAGCAGGTGGACTAATCACAATAATTTAGACATAGCAAAGATGTTTTCTAAATTTTTTTCCAACTGTAGATGTTCAAAGAATATTAGGGTCATGGTGGAGTATATCTAAGTAAGTAGAATTTTAAGTTACAGTGTGGATTTCCTCTCTTTAACAAAAGAAGAATATATGTTAATTTGATTCAAATTTATTTGCCTCCTTTGCAACTTTGATGATCATTTTGGAAAGTAAATCAAACAGAAATTAAAATAGTCACAGCTTTCCTTTGTGTCTCAATTTGGTTGAGAATTTCTAGGAAATGACAATATGAATAAAGAATAAAGAGAAGGAACAAAGGGACAAGAGGTACCACAAAATAAGAGGAAAGGATGCCTTTGTAAAATATTTATTCACCACTAGGTATGTCACCAGTTGGAAAGGGTCAATCTTATCAACAAATATGAGAGATGGAACAAGAAGAGGAGGCAGCTCTCATGGAATGCAGTGAATTCATAATCCAGGGCAAAGTTTGACAAAATTTGATTGTGTGATTTCTTATACTGTTGGTTCATTTTATTGCCCACCAGACCACCAGAAATAAAGCATAAACTCAATAATTTTAGAACATACAATAGATTTGTTAAATAATACATAATGTTATTGTAAATGTCAGTAGCACTACCTTGAGGGACATGAGTCTTTCTCAGTATGGTCTTTGAAAAATCAGTATGGGGTAATTTTCAACTTGCTGATACCTGTTGAAGTCATTTAATTATGACTTTTACCAATCATAATTTGTTTCTAATGGTGTCATTTGTTCATCTATACTATTATATATAAGTTACTCTTTTTGAAATGTGTTATTTGTGTGTAAAAATGTAAAAATATTGATTTACCCACTTTTAAGTAATTTTAGTATGCATGGTCTTTTATTTCTTGTATTTGAGCAAGTCAGTGTTCTAAAATTGTGAGATTACTATAAAAATTATATTCCAATATTATATCTAAACTTAGGTGTGGCCAGCATTATTAGTTTCAGAGTTGCCTAAACTATACAGAACATCTCTAACTCTGTTTGTCGAAGAGTTTTGACTCGTGTGCAATGGTGAAGACTCAGTTTCATGTCTCAAGTTTAAAATAGAAAAGTAATATCAGATGAGCACTTATGTGTTTTGCATGTCTGCTACTTAATCTCTAGTGAAAGTAAAAGGTTTTAAAGCACCATTCTTTCTCCCATTTAAAGTGGGTTCTTGGAAGCACAAGCAGATATATTTACCTTTGGAAGATGTTTTTGGCTGTGATGGTGCATTGGATGACAAACACTATTTGAGTCAGGTGTTAGAAATTTACTAGATGTATGATGTTGCATAGTAGAATATGATCATTTTCTCATTTTACTCCTTCTAAAAATAAGAGAAAAAGAAAGTTAAGTGAATAGTAAACTGTCTTTGTTTATGTCCTGCCAGATGTTTAACTCCAAAGTAATCAAAAAATGCAGGTACAATATGATGATGATGATGATGTTGATGGTAATGAATAAACAGAATCAAAACGCTAGGTTTACTTAAAATTAATAATTTTTTCAACTCTGTAGCACAGCTGGTTACATTGAATATTTTTCTCTGTTATGCTGTTAATTATATCATAATGTATTAATAGAGAAATAGATAAGAGCTTTCATTTCGTGTTCATTTATGAAAAAGTCTTTTCACATATAAATGATTGAATGTTCCTATTCAGAATGACCATGTAATTATTGCTTACAAAAAGACACCTATTCCTCTAAAAAAATCTGTCTATAATAATCAAAATCAAATGTTCTTTGTTTTTACTAAATGTTATTTTAAAAAATTGAAAGTGGAAAAATGTCATGTTTATTCAGGCTGCAGACTATATTAACAGAAATTTCAGAAGTCAACATATTTGTGACTCTTTAGACTACTGTAGTTTAACAATTACTTATTTAAAAGTCTGTAAATTACACTTATAATACTCTGAGAATACTTAGACAGTCATTTGCTACTATGTTTACCAAAATCTTTTAGTTTCAGTCAGATCCGAAGATCAGAAGCAGCTGTATAGTATATCTTATTCTATGAAAGGCTTCAGGAATTCTCATCACTGACTCAGAGTTAATTCAAGGAAGGATTAGCATTTCTGTATTGTTTTTCCCATTTGAAACTCTATGTGCATTTGGTTTGTGTACATGTTTTTGTAGTGTAAGATATGAAATTTTATATTTTTTCAGAAAATAAAAAAACTCTTTGAATACAGTCAAATCCGATTGTCATGCTTAACCCTTTCCCAAGACTTTAAATGTACAGTCTTTGCATAATGATTTCAGTTAGTTCTAATAAAAATGATTGAATTGCCTACATTAAATATTTTAAAGATCATTTTCTCCAATGAGAGATTCATGGCTCTACATTCAAATGTAAAGATTGACACTGAGATTATAAAACATGAACATTTCTTTGTCAAACTCTAATTAGAAGTTGATTTGTGACAGTGTAATACAACATTTCTTGCAAAAAAAAAAAAAACAAACCAAACCAAACAACACAAAATAAATAAAACAAGCAAAAAACTATGTGTACCAACTACAAAAGGGAACTTTTACTGACCAACTTTAGCCTAAGACATTCTCACCACCATGCATCTGCTTATAGCCTAGGGCAGAAGAGCTGCATTATTAAAGGAAGGAGTATCATTAAGTACACATTCTCTCTTTTTTCATAAATATTGTATCATATTAGTATTTGTTGCAAAAAGCATAGCAAATAATCTGCTGTATTCAAGGAAAATAATTGTATTTATAATTGTCGTGTATCATAAAATGTGTATTATAAAAAGTGACATCACCATGCCTATGGAAATAATCCATAAGTCTTTTGCCAATACATACTATCAGTATAACGTGGGGTATTACTTAATATTTTAGTAACTATTCTCAAGTAAATAACTGAGTTCTTTGTCACTTTGTAGACTATTTTTTTGTTCCTTCTTTGCTTCAGAAGTAAAGATTCTATGAAAAATGTGATTGGACCATGTAGGAAGGATGTGGTGGTAATAAAAAAGTTAACATTGCATTAGAATGCACCATTCTGTATTAGAATTTTTCACTCTTACCTTTTTGTTGCTGCCATGCCATACTCCCAAAGACTCCAAAAAGAAAGACACTCTCTGAAAGACTGAAGGAATGACCTGGAGACAACATATGAGACATGGGCTTTAATTGGGAATTTACAGGGAAGATGATTCAGGAGCAGCTGGCGGGAAAGTAAAAACAACTGATTGCAGAAGACACAGCATTTTATACAGAGCAGAGTGCAGGCTTAATGTGAAAAGGGTAGAGTTTCTAGTGTGCAGGTGGAGTGTGAGAATGTGCTTATACATAAAATAGCTGTGGATTCTCTCTAGGGGTGGGATTTTGGGTATTATAATAAACTATAGGTGAACGAAAGGAAAACAAAGGTTATGGGCATTGATCCAGGTATGACTAATCTGGTCTAAACCAGTCAGGAGTGCCGACTGCCCAAGGATTAGTGCATGAGAACATTTGCTGTGCATAGCTGCAAGATGTGGTCAGTAGGTGCAGAAAACACTTTGCCCATGGCTTCATCATGACTTGTATGTCCAGGCACAGGACCTGAGGTGAAGGGTACATCTGGGTATTGGCGACTCTCAGGACCCCTCTGCAGACTCCAATCCCCTGCTTGGGGCCATATCAAGGATGTGCTCATGCTATCACTGTGGGTATGTTGTCCTACAATTTCCTGGGTTTTAATGATGAGGAAACAGTGACTCAAAGCTACTGAGAAATAGTCCAAGGCCTGACTGCTCTACAAAGGCTGCATGAAACTCATATTTATTTTATACCAAACCCATGAGCTTTCCATTCCTCTATTCTGATTCCATAAATATTGACCATGCCATTGAGATAACAGAATCACTTATGGAAACCTTTTTATTTAATTGGCACAAGAACTGAAGGTCATCAGGAAAAAATGAATTGCACATTTTCACCAAGCAAAATGTACAAGCTTTGGGTAGAAACCAGAGTCTCACTGATCACACTTCTTATGTGTTCTGTTTACCTCAAACTTTGGTAATCACAAGTAATTTTTTATATTTGTTAATCTGTCACTAAAAGTAGCACAATCTGTCTCTACTATGTTTTTTCTAGTATAGGTCATAGTTTTTGCAACTACAAGCTCAGGAAATTGCAAATAACATTTGTTAGTTATTGCCAGCCATAATATCTGAACTTCATTTATAGAAATTTGAAGTCAACAGGAAATTTTCTGCCAAGTTGTTATTAAACCCAAAGTAAAATAACTAAGTTGCTATTTATGAAAATCCATACTAGCAGTGTTGTATATATGATATTAAATGTAATTTTATTTAAAGTTAGAAGGTTAAAAATAATAAACTGAATGAAGTTGACAGAAATACTAAAATATGGATAAATGTTTTTTCACAGCAAGGGTTATTTGGTTTATTTTAAAAAGTTGATTATAAAAAAATTGAGATGGCCGGGCTCAGTGGCTCAGCCTGTAATCCCACGCCTTTGGGAGGCTGAGGTGAGTGGATTGCCTGAGCCCACGGATTCGAGACCTGCCTGGGCAATTTCATGAGACCTCATCTCTA